GACCGAGCGAGTTCACGTGACAAAGGAAGAGAGAGAGGCTGGTCGGGTGTGCGGTCATTTCGGGGCATTGTTTCAGTCGTTTTTAATGGCTCAGGTTTTCAAAAGATCATTTCAAAACCGACCTCAGTAAAATCTTAATAATGTTATTAATAATAATTTAAAAAAACACGAGTTTCAAAAGGGCATTTTCATTGATAAAGGGCAAACTTCCTAGTGCTTTAGCACCACCTAGTGTCTATGTATGCACGCCCCTGTGTAAAATCAAGGGCCCACACAGACTTACAATATAAGAAACCTGCTAGAATTAAAGCACAAATAATAAAAATCAGTGTATAAATCCATCCATCCATTTTCCGACCAACCCCAACTGGGGTTGCAAGCTTTCTACAGGCGAGAAGCAGGGTACACCCTGGACAGGTCGCCGGTCCATCGCAGGGCAACATAGAGACAAACATTTTTGGACTGTCGGAGGAAGCTGGAGTACCCGGAGAGAACACACGCATGCTCAGGAAGAACATGCAAACTCCATGCAAAAGACCCCGGGCCGGGAATCGAACCCAGAACCTTCTTGCTGCAATTTTCGAAATATAAGGTTCAATATATGGACATATGGGAAACATTTCTAAATTATATTTTGCTGCTTGTGAAGGAGGATAATCACTGATGCAGCTGAAAGGGAAGCCATGCATGGATGGATGGATGGAATAGAAGTTGTGTCCATTCTAGGGATGCATGATATATTGCAGTTGGCATCGTTATCGGCTGTTATTCATCATTTTTATATATTAATGTTTTTGAGCCCTTTATAAATAATTCACTAAAGGCAGCCATCTGTCTATAACTATAAATATCAGTGTACTGTGGTTCTCTTGTGTTCTCAACCATAGGAAAGCATTCAATAAATATATAATTGAGCTCATTTTTGGAAAATATAAACCCTATTGAAAAGTTCAGATTGAGAAGCTGTAGGTCCATCAGTCCCCACCAACTTTTATCGCGAAGTTAGACCTTTGCCGTCACCAGAATTCATGACTGATCACAACTTACAATAAAAAGCGTATTACTTACAGTTGGGCACACCACGCAGATGCCTTAAATTAAGTCCGCTTCATGCGATCAGGAACTGAACAAAACAATGCAATAGCATCTCTTTCCGATCCTCCATTGTCTGTCATTACAATAAAAAAAAATAAAATAAAAAAAGAAAAGAAAAGAATAGAAGCGTTATTATGAGACGAAAAACTTTAATTTAAATACCTGAACAAACCCGTTCATCTGACAGCTGAACTCACCTCATTTGGGGTACTGACTTTATCACTGAAGAAAAAATATAAATTGTCCGCACCAAACGTTTCGCAGTTTGTCTCACCTGCTTTCACTTTTGCCTTGTTCCGTCAGGTGTAGCCAGGTGTAAGCGCCTATACGTTTCAAAGTAAAAGCACAACCAATTTACTTCAGGATATCTAAATAAAAAATGGATGAATGTATTTTCATTAAAAATTATCATTATAGATTAAAATTGAGTTTACATCATAGCAATAACAGTATTTTTAAGGAGAGCAGAAGACGAATGAGTGTACCCAAGGGAAGGAGCATGAACTCATGCTTGTGATGAAATGTAAAAAAAAAAAAAAAAAAAAAAAATAGTGAGAAGGTTTATTTTGAAGTTGTAGCCGAGAAAAACAACGCTTCACTCCCATACAGGTCAGTTTGTTAGATATTGTGTCAGTTGAAGCCCCCCTTTTTTTTTTATTAATGCGATAATTAAATGGTTAAAAGTTATCTCACATAAAACAAATGGCAGAGACGGGAGAAGTCGGTGAGTTTTAATAAGTTTGTGTAACTTCTTAAAATTAGGACATTTAAAGTTTTGTTTTCCATCATAATTTTAGTCTTTTTGTGTGTTGATGTAGCCTATTTATTCTAAAAACAACTGATTGTTGTAGATTCTAAAGGGATTCCAAGGATATTGTGTGGAGATTGTGAACATTTTCTCGTTTTCAAGTACGTACGCAGTTTTAAATGAGCTGCTTTCACTTTCATATTCTGCTGGTTACTGAATAATTGCCTAATTTATTCACTTCAGATCCCTGAGTATATGTTAATATACATATATATCAATGAGATCCTCTCATTATACCTGACATATCTTTCTTCTTGTGTCTCATAGGAGCAAAGAAAGGACGGGGTAGAAAAAGCAGCATAGATCCACCATCAGGTCTGACTTCTATAACAGAGCCAATGTGTTAATCCAGGTCCAAATGATGTTGAAATTTATTCCTGAGATGTTTGCAGCAACTTAAAAACATGTGCCTTTCCTAGTTACACTCATGATATAGATAATTGAATTTCATTTTAATGTAATTCGCCATTAGAATATAGCTTATATATTAACTATATTTAATTTTTATTTAATGTGGACAAAATGTTTTTATCCTTCTTTTTTTTCTGAGGGTGGGAACTCAACCCACACAAACAAAAACAAGACCATCTTTCCTTCTTCACCAGTTATAATATACAAACTGACCAATTTTTTTTCCTGTTAGAAGAGATAAAAACAGGAGCTGTACACAGTCTTTAAAGAAGCAGGAAAAATCAAGAATCATTTTTGAAAGACTTTTTAAACTGTGTAGCCCTCTGGTTTTTCAGTATTTTCTTGAACAATCATTGATGATATGTACAGACTTTTCTTTCTTCCCTGCTTTTTGCTTTTCTAAAAGAAATATCCCGGAACCTGTTAACTCATTCTCCCTAATAGACCTGAACTGTTTTTCTTTTTTGTTTTGTTTTTTTATTGCACATGGTGGTTTTTTAATATTTTTTGAGTAACCCTAGTCTCATCACAAACATTAATTATTTTAGCAGCAGCAACCTAGCTGATCCCACACTCCCTCATCCATCCATCCATCCATCTTCTAACACGCTTAATCCCAAGTGTGGTCACAAGGGGTGCTGGTGCCTATCTCAAGATGATCCCACACTCCTTATGTGCATATATTTTTAATTATATTATCATTGAAACTATCTTTGGTCTGGATTCATTACATTCCTGCCATGTGATTGGCTTATATGAAGCATAAGAGAAAATTCAGACTGAAAAACGTAATTCAGCCTCACTTCTCTTCCATCCACCATCTGATGCTCTGCTGCTGAAAGCCTATCACCCCTGTGCACGCCTAACCTGACAACAGCCAGATGCATGTCTCGCTCCGCCTAGCTCCACTCACAAGCGAGACATGCATCTGGCTGTTGTCAGGTTAGTGGACGCCTCAGCCATTCTCAATCATTATCTATTACCTATCCTTATCCATCTGCTCAATCATAACATCATCATTCTCCTTGCTTACCCCACAACCAGGGCCTGAGCGGCTAAAACAATGTTACTCATTTCATAAAACCTTCTAAATTGTTTATGTTCCAGTGTCAGACTTAAGGCTGGTGCTCGTTGGGAAGACTGGTGCTGGAAAAAGCTCCACTGGAAACACTATTTTAGGAAGAAATGCCTTCAGAGCAGTCACTAAACACTCCTCAGGTAAAACTGAATTGCAAAGACACATCAAACACTTTCCAAGCTTATATCTAATAAAATATTGCATGCATTTAAAAATCTAAGAGTAACAAAGTTTGTTGGTTTTAAATAAATCTAGTGCAGAGCTGTCATTGACAAAACTGTATGTAGCCGTTACATTTGCTTCCTGAATATCACTGTACCATTGTAAAATATGTATTTAAATGTTTATTTCCCAGAGACCTCTGAATGTTCCAAACAACGAGAGAAAGTATCCAAATGGATGGTTTCAGTCGTTGACACTCCTGGCCTCTTTGACACCTATCAGCCTGAGGAAACGGTGAAGAGAGAAATCTCCAAATGCATCAACATGTCGACCCCGGGCCCCCATGCCATTCTACTGGTAATCAAAGTTGGACGATTCACACCAGAGGAAAGAGACGCCGTGCTGAAGGTGGAGAAAATTTTTGGAAAGGAAGTCTGGAAGTACACCATGATCCTCTTCACTCATGGGGATAAGGTGAAGTCAGACTTTGATGAGATGTTGAAGGAGGCTGGACCAGATTTGAAGGAGATCTTGGAGAAGGCTGGAAATCGATACCATGTGTTCAATAACCTCAGAGCTCATGACCGTAGACAAGTTCTTAGTCTGCTAGAGAAGGTTGAGGAGATGGTGAATAATACAGGAGGTCAGTTTTATTCTAATGATACATATGAGGAGGCAGTGACAATGCTGGATGAGAGGGAGGCTGAACTCAAACGTTTATATGAGAAAAAACTTGAGGAGGAAACAACAGCTATGAAGGCAGAGTATGAAGAGCAGCTAAGAGAAGCTAAAGAGGACAAAGGGAAGGTAGAGAAGCGGATGCAGACTGAACTGGAGGAGTTGGAGCGTTACTACCGTGCCTTAGAGAGAGGAGTCCGTCAAGTTGTAGAGCAGCTGCCCAAAGAGGATGATCAACTCCTCAAGAGATTTCATGAAACTTTGAAGCTAAACTGAACAAGTCGTGAATAGGTGGCTTGTTAGACACCTTCACTGAGGTGAAGTCGTTAGCGATCCATTGTAAACAGTAATCCACCCCATTAGATATGACTACTTTTATTGTACATGTTGCATTTTTTTTTTTACAGAAAAAGAGATCACAAATTCTAAAGATCTGTTAAGCAGTTAAGCTAACTGCTACTGGTTCTCAGGGAAAGTGAGGTTAATCTTTTAAGTGGGGTCAGTGTTAATTTCATCAGCTTTTTTAAATTTAGTCTTAGTCTTAGTCACAATGACAAAAATCTATTTTAGTCTTAGTCATATTTAGTCATTGCCTTCCCGATTTAGTTTTAGTCTCAGTCTAAATGACGAAAATCAATTTTAGTCTTAGTCCAGTTTTAGTCAACACTGTAAATAATAGAACTTCTCCACACACTGCTTTTTTAAACATATATATCACACTGTACAGAATAAAACTTCACCACACACTGCTTCTCTTTTTCTCTATTTTATTTATATAACACTGTGCAGAATAGAACTTCACACACTGATTCTCTTTTTCTCTATTTTATTTATATAACACTGTGCAGAATAGAACTTCACACACTGATTCTCTTTTTAACATATATCACACTGTAAACATTAAACCTTTTGTCAGCTTGTTTCATCATATCCATAAAGTCTTCATCCTCAATGGTCCCTGCAGTGAGGCCAGAACGCCCAATCCACTTTGCCATTGAGTTTTCCAGGGCTTTCTGCTCTTTGACGTCAGGGGTGGGGGTGCATGTCTGCAACAGACTTTCCTTCCTACCCCAACCTCTGATTTGGCTGTGGTGTCACTGTGTCAGGTATCTAGTTGGGAGGAAGAAATTTAAACAATTAATATCCAGTTTATCAGTAGAACATCTTTCTTCTATGACAGAGAGACAGAGAGGCACAGGAAGGCACACACACATACAGCCAGATGCATGCGTGCCCGCGCACACACATACATTCACATGCATGCACCCATGCACGCACTAATACACCCGTTTCCGCTACTACAGGCCCACCCGTTCCTTACCGTCTTCCATATGTCAGCTGTTGGCTCCTCAGATGTCGCTTGATTTTCGCTGTGTTCTTCCCTGCCAATTTGAAGCTGCAGACTCTTTGGTGGCGTCCTTCCTCCGCTGTTTTCCTTTGTGTTGTAAACGAAATGGCTCCATCCAGGCGTTGTTTAACAAACCGCACACCAGTATCCGCAATGATCATGGTTGACGAAAATAACACTGAGTGGGGTGAAAATTCTAGGTGAAGAATATTGTTAGTCTAACATCTCATTTACAAAAGATGGAGGTTAGATGTAAGACTAGGCCAGTGGTCCCCAACCCTGTTTCTCAGGGAGCCCTGTCCTTCATCTTTTACCTGTTTTCCTGCTCACACCAGAAAAGAATGCAGGATTATCATGCTTCTGCAGCAATGCAGAGGACGAGCCATAATTTTAATCGGATGTGCTGGAACAGAAACATATCTAAAAAATGCAGGTGGGAGGTCCCAGAGGACCAGGGTTGGGAACCTAGACTAGGCTCTCTAACCTCTAGACTAGACCTAGTGGTTAAAATGGAGGGAATTTGCATCCTGGCGAGATTACTGATTACTAATGCAGATATCTGATTGTCTCTGGATCTCCGAGCAAGACACCTATAGATTTTATAAACTTATATGGACTGGATGAATGTTTATTGATAACCCTTGTCAGACATTTTCACTGAATTACATATATGATTTAATTATATAATTAATCAATCATGTTTGTATGTGTTGAATTTGGAATTTCGTTTTTTACTGTGTGGACTGAAATAAAAATATTTTTTTTCATTTATTTGGTTGTTTTTCTTTGCCCTGTTCATAACCTTTATGGGTATGGTTTCTAGAGGCATCCAAGGGCTGGAGGATATCCAGTTTGGGGATCAGTGGATCTCATCCCTGCTTTCTGTGGATGATGTTGTTCTGCTGGCTCCTTCCCGTCAGGATCCTGGATCCTGACCAAAAAGAACGGGATCCCAAATACAAGCAGCTGAAATTAACTGTCTCTGCAAGGTACCTGGGCATTCCCTTAAAGAAACGGTAAGGAGCTCGGTCATCCAGGAGAGGCGTTACAGTAGAGCTGCTTCACCACATCCAGAGGGCTCAGCTGAGGTGGACATGTTTTTGGGATGCCCCCTGGACAGCTCCCCTTAAAGGTGTTCCAGGATTGTCCCACCGCGAGGAGGCGTAGAGGACGACCCAGGACACGCTGGAGGGACTGTGTCTCTCAGCTGGCCTGGGAGCACCTCGGGTTTCCCTCTGACATCTGTGGTTTCTCTTTTAGAAAGGTGAACACTGGAATTTCAAAGAAACCCTTACATTATACAAATTATTGCAAGATGAGATCCTCTAACCTTGGGATAAGTGTGACAGAGGATGGATGGATGGATGGATGGATGGATGGATGGATGGATGGATGGATGGATGGATGGATGGATGGATGGATGGATGGATGGAT